AGCATAGTCGATAACCTATTCTCCACTAAATTTCAACAAAAAAGCGAGCGGACACTTGGGGCAGTTCCCTCGTGAGTCAGTATACTGGCAGAAGGTCACATGTCATGTCATCAAACCAGATTTTTAATGAATGTTGTATATCTCGAGAAGACAAAAACTCGGAAACTATTTCCGAATAAAGTTATAAGTATTCATCAAAAAAACTCAATTATACAACGCCATTAGATCGACTATGTGTAGTAGACAAATAGAGAAATGTATGATTTACTCGATACCAGAACGATTATGCTTTTCAAAATGGAATGCTTCTATCAATGTACGAATAAGTCACAAACGGACAACGGGAAAGACTTCAGTTTGTTGTCATTTTGTAGCCAAGACCTAACTTTATCTTGTGAATGATGTGGGCACCGGAAACTTGGATTTTTAGATCATGTGCTTCATGAATCTATTGAACAGGGTTAGTGTCTGCTTTTTTTCTTGACCATAGCAACATCTTTGTCTAATAGCTGTAGTTGACAGCCCACAGGCTCCAGAAGTCACGCAAGTCCGATCTCTTTATCCATCAATGTGTTAAAAGTGACTTTCTTCTGTAGTACTAATTGAAATGCCAATTCTGGTGTTATTTGCAAGAATGATTCTTTTCAGTATTCTCGCTTAGTATAGTTAGATAGAGAAAAAATAGAAGTTGTGCGGTACAGATACGTTTAACATTAATTTCTAATGAGGTATGTATAGAGTGATTGCCCATCATCCATCCATCACTGTCAAGATATCATTTCCTTGTAAAAAAAAGAACAAAACAAAGAAGAAGGTGAAATTATAAGACCACTATACACACTTCAAGTCAACTTCCTTCTGATAATGGGGTTAGGGAACCTTTTTCGAAACAATTAAAAGAATCGAACAAGTTCCTTCGTACACCATCATCATCGTCAGTATCAACAACATGGAGTCCATGTTGTTCCATGCTCACAGAAAAAGAGGACAAAATAAATAAGAATGGAAAATAACAGAAAAGGAACCTAGAACAATACAAGTAGGCTCATATTTTGAGAAATAGTTTGAAGGACGCCTTTGAAAGCACTGGCGAGGCAGGGCTCCCAACTGTCCAATTGTTATTTTAATGAAATCCATTGAGCTGTAGGTAATCTACAAAGCAAAGCCAGTTTTCCAGATACTCGCAAAAATCTCCGAAACTTTTCTTAATAAGCCACGTTTATAGCCCGCGAAATTCTGATCAAAATCAGACATTCCCCAGCTCTACACGGCCTTTCTTTGCAAAGTTATAGAATTTACAAGAAAAGCCCTAAATTAACTTTTCCCGTAGCTTTGAGCTGACAATGAACATTTAGGGCTTTTCTTACAAGTACTATAACTTTGCAAAGAAAGGCCATGTAGAGCTGAGGAATATCTCATTTTGATCAGAATTTCGTGGGCTACAAACATGATTTAAGAAAAGTTTGGAAGATTTTTTCGAGTATCTGGAAAACTAGTTTTCTAGAAAAGCAGTTTCTGAAGGCCTGCAAGCCCGTCTTATGTTGGTACTGGGAATCACCATGACTGATTACCTACAACACAGTGGATTTCATTAAAAAAACGATTGGGCAGTTGGGGACCTTTTCTCGTGAGAGACGGTTTTGATACTATAATGTGCATCAGAGGTCTGCGCGACCATACTTTTTGAGCCCCAGTCCCGCAGAAAAAACTTGTTTTTGGTCCATATAATTATGTGCCATTGACCACTACGCAGAGCAGGGTTGAGGTAAGAGCAGAAAATTTGCCGATGAAATAAAATTTTTTTGTTACTACATAAACTCACATTACACGAGAAAAGATTTTGTTAAAATAACATCATTTTCTTTAGATTTAGGTTATGATATTTATGAGGGTCACGATTATGTAACACCGAACAGATTATGGAGTCCATGGATAGAAGGTAATTTTACGAAAGATTTGAAACTTATCGATAAATTTACAATTGAAATAAATCAGACTTTATCTGCTCCATTTGAACTGATACTTTCGAATAACAAAAATCCTGATGCAATTGATAGTTACTCGATAAAATTAATTGTCAGTGAAACACAGGCGTCAATAAACAAAGTATCAAATAATTCAACATTTATACTAAACCAGACCAAATATATTGATACATTTTTACATAAAGATCACGGTTCACACACTTATTGGTTAAGTATTGATTCGAATGATTTACTTGTTAAATATGGCCAAGGTGAAGTCAGAGATAAATTAACGATTATGAAATGTAAATTAGATAAAGAACATTTAAAAAACCAAATTCAATATCTTCATGTCAAATTCAATAATACCACAGATTTAAGTAAATTAAAAGATTTAGAAGATACAACGACAATAAAATTTTGTAGATTTTCCGTTGCAAATCATGATCCACCATTGTTTATTATTAAACGAAGTACACCGACATGCGAAGTAAAGACATGCGGTCTGGAATTTTCGGGATTAGCTGAACCATATGGAACATTATATAAGGATGTTATTAGTTGGAGATTAGCTGATGAGTTTGAACAATTTACTGAAGCTGCTGAAGCAATTCATCGAAGTGTAACAAATCCGGATGGATGGTGTTTCCAAAAATTACAAATGAAATCACAAACATTTGGTGATAAGCCGAATATCTTAGGAACATATTTGAGAATAACAATTGGAGAAAATAATTTTGCTGGTAGTCGATATGTATTGGAAATTTGGCCACCTTTACATTATAGTCCTATTCGCGCACATACAAATGCACTTGGTATTGTACACGTATTGTATGGACAAGTAAATATTCAATTATTTGCATCACTAAATGTTGAACACCAAGTACCATTTCACAATGCAACATTGGAAAAAAATAATGTCACATGGCTATCACCGGGTTTAAACCAAATTCGTAAGATAATGAATCCGTCACACGACGAAACAGCTATAGTAATACAGACTTATCGGTATGGTAAACAAGATTACAGTGGTTATGAATATTTTGATTATATTGATAATGATGATCGACAAATTAAGTCATTTTTACCAAAAACTGATCTTGAATATGTTGAATTTAAAAAAATAATAATTCGTGAATGGAATGATGATATTGCAAAAAGAAATGATTGTCCGTAATGTATAACTTTACTGAGACCTTAACCTTGACCTTTTAATCCTTTAATGCCGTATGTAGAGGATAGTTGGTAAACATTTGCACAGAGATTTTTTAGTATTATTTTTTTGCGATTTTTATTAACTTTTATGACTTTTTATTTTTAAATTTACATTTGCGCTTGATTATATATATATATATCGGTTTAACATATGGACGATGGTGACGAGATCTGTAATAGTCACAGTATTTTCTAACACCTCAATCAGTTTTTCACCTTTTGTCGTTTTGTTATAGATCGTAAGTAAAACTTCATCATTTATTATCTAACAGCTGTACGAAAAATCGTGTTAGTTTGCTTTCTATCTGTGTACATGGAGAGATCAAGACTACCCCGCAATGTTCATCAGTTCCAACACCATACTTAAAATCAGCTCTTTATAAATCCATTTTTGCTACTAGGCACACTATAAGTTAGGAAAAATTTAATGTTGTACCAACAGATTCAAATCCATATCCTCTACTTATGAAAGAATCCTTAATGATTTTAGAATATAAATCTAATTCGAACAGCACTGTACGTTCTGTTCCACTATTTATATATCCTAATGAAACCTCAAAAAACTTTATACCCGATTCTAGAGGATAAAAAATTTTAATAAAACGTCTTACCATCCTAACATTGGATGAAGACCCATAGTCTATCAGAAATGTTTGAGAAATTTATCACATTTGTTCAGAAAGAATACAAAACTCGACTGAGAAACAATACTTAGACTCGCCCATTTGAGGAGATGATCCATTTCTTCTACTTTAGACGGTAAGAATAACGTCATTTTCTTCAAATACGTCCAAAAAGCTTGTCAGCGTTGCTTCTACAAAGCAAAAATGTAGAAACTTCCTACCGAACTGTGGATTATAACGAATAGAATAAGACAGTTACTTTTAGAGTAAAAAGTAGAAAAAAAGTTATGGATGGGTGTCGATTTGATTTCAAACCGTAAAATAAAAGGAATATATTAATTGTATGTCGTCGGGTGAGCCGCGATGTCAGACCAACAAATGTATCACATTCGTTATGAGAGAATAGCATTACGACTGGTCTTTCGGGACCACGGTTTGAAATCAAATCGACACTCATCCATAACTTTTTTTCTACTTTTTACTCTAAAGGTAACTGTCTTATTCTATTCATTTTAATGTTTTTCTTCGCACTTAGTAGAACAAAATGATCTCGATTACCGTCTAAAGTAGATGAGTCCTTCGCATACACTTCTTATTCGGTTTATGCTCCAACAACGGTTTATTAGTCATCAATCAGTTTGTAAGGTTCTATTTTAAGACTCACAGATTTATCTGTTTTCTTTCTGGTTTAGAGTAAAAAATAGCAAAAAAGTTATGGATGAGTGTCGATTTGATTTCAAACCGTGGTCCTGAGGACCAGTCGTAATGCTATTGTCTCATAACGAATGTGATACATTTGTTGGTCTGACATCGCGGCTCACCCGACGACATACAATTAATATATTCCTTTTATTTTTGTCGAAATTGACGTTGTGCAATCATTCGACAGAACATGCAAAACTTGTGCATTTTTGCTTCTTTTCTTTTGTTAGTGTGCATCCATCCTGCTATATTTCGAAATAGAGTAACTCTAACGTTATCAAGGTGAGCTTATCGAAATGCATCTTGTTTAGCTTCTTGGACAAGAAGAGCCAAGAAACTGGAAAGACTAATGTAATCAATCTTATCTTTTATTCTGTATCACTTTCACATACAACTTACAACAACGGTTTATAGCTGCTAAGAATTTTGAGCTATCTCACCAATTTCTAATTTAGGTGATGTCAATAACAAATGTTAAAAAGTATTTAGAATTGTAGAAAAATTCGATAAACTTGACTATTATAGATATTTAACGACCCTCTCAGAAAATAACCCATTTGTTAAACATCCAGTCTTTCAGGGGGCATCATTCAACTAGGTATGCTGGAAATTTGAGCTCGAACGATTGGAGAAGTGCCGGGTTGCAGGGGTCTCAATGTGGAAAAGGAGCTTCCAGCAGAGTTCGCCACAAACACTTGTAGATAAAGCTCATAGGTACAAAACAAAAAAAGACAAGAACCTGTGATGAACCTCGACGGGACCCCTACTTCAAGAGCACTAGTTAACCAGTTGTTCGAAAAGGATACAAAACTCGAGTCAGAAACAAAACTTAGACTCGCTAATTTGAGGAGATGACCGATTTTTTCTACTTTAGACGATAAGAATTAATAGTACAACGGATAATGAGACAACAGAAATAACGGCCTTTCGTTTAACAATTAATGCATATAAAAAATCACCTAAATTAGAAATTAGTGAGATAGCTCAAAATTCTCAGCAGCTATAAACTGTTGTTGTAAGTTGTATGTGAAAGTGGTACAGAATAAAAGATAAGATTGATTACATTAGTCTTTCCATTTTGTTGGCTTTCTTGTCTAAGAAGTTGAACAAGATGCATTTCGATAAGCTCACCTTGATAACGTTAGAGTTACTCTATTTCGAAATACAGCAGGATGCACAATAACAAAAGAAAAGAAGCAAAAATGCACAAGTTTTGCATGTTCTGTCGAATGATTATGTCTTATATGTTATGTCTTATATGCGAACAGTTCGGTAGGAAGTTTCTACATTTTTGCTTTGTAGAAGCAATGCTGACAAGCTTTTTAGACGTATTTGCTGTTTTTCGAAGGGAAAAATCCTCTCCTGTTCCTAGTTTTT